GTTGTTGCAAAAGGTGTCATTAGGAATGGACTGCAAGTGTACCCACTGTCACCGAGAAGAGCGCCATTATCGAGGGAGCGATGGTTGTTTTGCAAATAGGTGCAAATGTTACTAGTCCTGAATATGTGGCTCTCATGACTTCTTCCTGGCCAGCAGGTAACAACATTGGTAAACATGCCTTCAAATCAAACAATATTTTTGTTGAGGTTAGAGCTCGGTCCACTTAAAATGTTTTGGTTCGTGCATGAATTTTGTCTTAAATGTTTACATTTTTATTTTCTTCAGGAAGTTTTGCAATAGCAAAAAGTCTACTCACCTTCATGGTTGCAAACACCTTGTACATTGATGAAATGAGAACCTTTTCTGTTGACATAGTTGCTTTCATCCTGTGTGGGTGCTTGTAATCTCATGTGAGTTCCGTCCACACGTCCAACAACGCCAGGAAATCCTCCGCGAATGTAAAATTCGTTTTTAATTTTTTCACATTCGTCATGTGTCAAAGGCCACTTGATAAAGCAGGGTTGTTTTGCCGTAAGAGCTCGAGACACATCGGTAATGGCACGGGAAATAGTGGACTTATCCACAACGGAGGTGTCGCCTATAACTTGAAGGAAACCTTCACTTGAATAAAACCAAAGGGCAATTAAAACTTGGTGGAGTGGCAACAAGGCATGATTTATTTCACCGGCAACAAGATTTGCAATAAATAAAATGGACGCTCTTCTAAAGCGATAACGAGCATGCAGTTCTTTGTCTGTGAAATCGTTGATTTCGAACTGAGTGGCGGTTCTGAATTTCCTTTCTCTTCGCCGCCATCATAAATCGCAAAACAACAAGTTCGCCATTTTTATTCTTTATTTAACTGGAGGGTAGCTATTTAAACCTTTATTGCGCGGTGGGTTAAATTAACCCGCTGTTTAACCTAAGGTTAGTGTTAACCTTCTTTCGAACAAGGCAACCAAAATTTTACCTCAAGGTTTGGCTGACTTAACCCTCTTTTGAACAACCGGGCCCTGGAGATTTCTAGAAGCTTACATTTACAACAACAATTACTCATAACATTACAAATGTTAATAGTGCTCTGATGAAAAAGACATTACGGCTCTGGAGTCTGATTACAGTGACAGTTTCTGGACATCTACATTATCAACATTGGTTTTGTCTATAAATATTAATTGCATGGTTTTAAACTTTTAAATTCTTTTACATCCAATTATCACAACCTATGCATATATTATATACTGGTATATATTTTAACCAAGAACATTACTATCTTGCCTTCCAGATTAACTTTTAGCGTTGTCAATCCACAAGTAATTGTGCCAAGCACTCTAACAGCCTATTTGAGGTTAAACCAAAGGAAAATAGAAGGATTTCAATTTATCAAAACAATGGAGCATTGGTTTCTAAACGGATAGATTTCCTTCGAAACATGATATCAAGTATGTCTTCATTTGTTGAAGAGTTTTAAGGTAAATATTTCAAGGTTTTAAAGCGCTTAAGAGCTTAATTATTTTAATTAAGCAATTTACCTAACCGTGCGTTCCTCATTGTTCAAAGGGTAAAACTGGGCCACGACCAACATTTTCTTTGCTCTTGCAGCTTGGTGGGAAATGTACATTTCCAAACGAACATCCAAGAAAGAATGATATATTGATATATATACAATTATCTCTTTTTTTGCGAGTATCAAAAACTAAATTTTAAAGAAGCACGTGACATGATAACAATAATTGTGGCTGTCAAATTTTGACAAATTTCGTGGGTGGTTGACCAGCAAAATATGAAGGGTCATCAACACTAGAATTTTTAGAATACTTCGATAAAGAGGGAGCTGTTTCGCCCAGTTTACACCGTCTTGGCCCATATTTGAAGGTCATATTCTATCTTGGGTCTTAATGTCCCGTGGGTCTAATAGGTTTCAGCTTCGCCTTATTTAGAAACTTGGCATTTCGGCGATAATGAATTTTGTCCTTGTTTAGAATAGTTTGTATTCAAGCTCGACTTACTTCCAAAAAATTGTCCCTCTGAGAGCAAGCCAACTTCCCCACACCAGATCCTTTCATCCTTTCAAATTCCTCAACCACTAATTTGATTATCTCTGATGACTTTAACGTTCGACGCCCCTCGTAATATAGTGCTTTGTCACCATGGTCCTCTTTGACTGATATCCTTCTGCTGGCTCTCCATTATCGCACATCACTCTCGTTAGTTCTTTCACTGGTGGTTGCGCCTTGCCCTCAACAAGTTGGAGCAGGACTTCATAAACGTCGTCTGGTAAAACAGAGGGTTTCCTGTTCCCTTCGAAGTTTTTCTGATCTTTATAGACCACACACCTGTCCGACAATAATGCAATTAATGCTAAAACCATAAAAGCTAAAACAATAAATCTCATCTCGAATCAATGCAAGTATTGTGTACTACAATCTTATTTATTTATTTAGCTTCGCCTAACTAGAATACAATTTGTAAGAAAAGAATACAAAAATTATTAGGCAGGGAGACCAACACAGCCTAGTTAATTACAGCGTATCCCTCGTTAATTAATTATATAAAAAAATACTTAATAACTAAATCTACTAATATGTAAGCAGAAAACTTAGGAGGAAACAAAAGGGAAGTCCAAATTGCTAGAAGCAGCGGGCACAGGAGAGACCTCGCTGTGTTGTACCTAAGACAGATTGTTCTCCAGGTTCTAGTGTCGTCAACGTCATACAGGTTCAGAGCCTTTTTGTACTATTTAAGTAATAAACTTTTAAAAGAGGCTAGAGAGATGTGATTTTTGCGTAGCTCAGCGGGAAGAACATTCCATGTGCGGCACGCGCGTATGAGAAATGAACGTCGATATGTAACAGTTCTACTTCGCTTAGGAATATTAGTAATAGCACTGCTGCTTGATGACCTAGTAGATCTTGTAAATTGCCTGCTTACAGGTAAAGCTTTACTATCTTTGAAAACTAAGTTATTAACAGCTTTGTAGAAAAAGACTGTATCCAAAACTTCATGCCAGTATGAGATGGGCAATAGATGTGTTAGTTGGAGGGTCTTATAGGTGACATCGCAACGGAAAGGGAGCTTCAACATTAGTTTTGTTGCATGGCGCTGCACGTTTTCAACTCGCTTTAGTAGGCCAATGGACTGTGGCGACCATACTTGGGTTGCGTAGCCGAGATGGCACCGGACGATAGAAAGGTACAGTGTACGATGCGTTTGGGTGCTTGGATGTACCAAGAAACTTGGCGCACAAACCTGAGGAGTTTGTTGGCTTTCGCAAACTGTTCAGATACTTGTTTTTCCGAGGTAAGATTGCTTGACACCCGCACACCAAGGTCTTTCTCTGTGTCGCAAGATTCCAGAGGCGTTTCGTTGATAGTATAGGTAGGTTGTACAGGTGATTTTTTGCTGGTGATGCACTGGTATTTACACTTGGACTGATTAAATATGAGCCCGGATGATTCGGACCAACTGACAAGATTGTTAAGGTCGGATTGCAAGGCGTTACAGTCTGTGATGGAATCGGCCATGAGTCATTGTCCTCGGCATCTTTAAAGCCTGTATAATTTCCGGCTGCATCTGGGTAATTACGTCTTATTGATGCCACAACACACGAAGGAATCACGCGTCTGTTCCCTTTACCAAGTCTGTTATAAGTCCACCAAGTAAACTGTCTACAACCTGCCAATCGCATACTCCTAGGAAAAAACAAAAGACGTTGATACATGCTCGGAACAGAACCCAGACAAATGCAGTTGAAACAAACAAATTCTACTTCGCCAAGCAGGGGCTCATTTGTAATGAGATCAATATCTTAAGCTAACATTGTGTGACAAAGGGAGACTTCCTGACGCTCGCCGTTTGACTAAGGCTCTGTTTACATGTAGCAAGTTTCCCTTTCTTATTTTCCCTCTTTAAGTGATGTGATGATTCTCATAAGAATTCCTTCTTTCAATTTTGTCTCGTCCACGTCCATATTTACTCATAATTTACCTCCATTAGGAAAACAAAGCACACAAACTGAAGAGGTCTCTGGCTCTTTACAATTAAATATAGCGATGAAGTTCACCCTTCAGACAAAAGACTACAACACCACTTGTATTAAAAGGGCTGACAACACTGCATTTGTTTCTTAGGGTTCGCGTCACACAAACTCGTAAACAACTAAAGTGTTTTGTTTGCATGAATTTTGTGAAAAATATTTATTCTGTCGGTGCTTACTCATTTGACGGATAATCTTCAAGTCTGTCATTTCTCACATGGTGCATGCCAACTAGGGCTGTTCTCAGGACGTCCGCTAGTAAACTCACGGGTCCTAATGATCCGTGCTCTGTAATACACTGAAGCTTGTTACCTGCAATTTCAGTGATAGTTCATATCACTCAGTTAGCAGGGTGAAATAAATCCATTGCGGGCACTGCGCCGTTCTTTTGTAAAAAAATAAAAAATTATCACTTTAGAAACCAAGATTTTATTTTTGAGAAGAATTAATTACCTTCCAGATCGAGTCGATCACCTAGTACATCCATTTCTTGGCAGCATATACACTCGTTTTCTGTTGGCATCTCTTGACAGTTGCCGCAAGAGCACCATTCGCGATTTCCAAGACGTGAGCGCGTAAATGTTTCTTCTTGTATCTCTTCCTGAGTTTCTTTGTCAACAGAAATTTCTTCTTCTCCTGAAGATGAGCTATGTTGCGGCTCAAACATGAATGGATGAATTACACGGTCTGGATTAAGATCCAAGTCGAGAATTGAGTCATTATCGCTCTCCTCCCCGCTGTTTTCTATGTTTTCATCCATCTTAGTCGACATTACAACGCTTGACTATTGCTACGTCATAGCTACGTCATAATAAAGATGGCGGGTTTCAATTCCTAAATGTCAATTTTTTCAACGTAATTTCTGGCAACAAATAAACTTAAAGCTCAAATGAATTGCCAATTATGAAAAAACAAGTCAGAAACTTTTGATATAGGTAAACTTTTTCTAGACCGTACTTCCCCTTTAAAGGAACGCTTCAGTCCAGAGTCGGTTCACTGTCACTACGTCGTCTTCTTTCAGGTTCTTTTCCTTAGAGAACCACTTGTGTCGAGAACCAATGTATGGCAGATATTCTTTCAACCAACGTTGCCATACGCGACGAATGAGCTCTTGAATTCGCCTCCATCGTTGACGAGGGTTGAACTCGGTCGTGTCAACACTATCTGGAACTATGTCTCCGCCCATCTGACCAATGATAAAGTGGTTTGGCGTCAGTACTGGTTCGTCGTTTGGGTCATCACTGATGGTCGTTAGTGGTCTCGAGTTAAGCAAACTCTCAACTCCGGTAAAACAGGTTTGCAGCTCTTCATCTGTGACGTCTGCGTCTTGTAAAATGGCTGAAATAACTCGCTTTGCCGCTTTAATCAAGGCTTCGAATACACCACCGAAGTGCGGTGCTGCTGGTGGGTTCCAGTACCACTCCACGCCTTTGTTTGCTGTTGTGCGTCGGATTTGTTCTTGATCTAATTCTGCAACTAATTCTCGAATTTCTCTGTCTGTAGCGACGAAGTTTGATCCGTTGTCGCTAACCATTATCTTGGGCCATCCTCTTCTAGCAGTCATCCTGGTGAACGCGTTCATGAAACTACCTGTGTCTAGGGATGTGGCCATTTCCAGGTGGCAGAAGCGGGTTTGTAAACAAACGAAAAGGCACAGGTATCGTTTGGTTCGAGCTCTTCCACGTCCTTGCATGGTCAAGTAAGGGCCACCATAATCTGTTGCACAATTGGTAAACGGTCTGTTAGTCATCTGTAAGCGAAACTGCGGCAACGGGGCCATTTGTTGCTTGGCAGGGTGGAGTCGAAAACGCCTCTTACATTCAAAGCAGTTATGAATGCATGCCTTTACTTCTTGTCGACTGTGAATCACATGGTATCTTGATCGCAGGTGATTGAGTGTATAGTTGACACCCATCTCGTGACTTTCCATCTCGTGATGATACTTCACAATCAGCTGTGTCACGTGATGTTTCTTTGGCAGAATAATCGGGAACTTGGTGTCAGCTGCCAGGTCATCTGATCGCCGAAGTCTTGTATTTGATCGTAATAGGCCTCCAGCCAACATCGGTGTAAGGGGGAGCAGATGACTTCTTTTGCTCAATTCCTTTCTTGCCGTTAGTGCAATAATTTCTTCGTTGAAAACCTCTTTCTGTGCTTCCTTGATGATGTCAAGTTCGGTGTCCGAGAGTTCCTTTGTCGTCAATTCTCCCTTGATGCGTTGCTCTTCAGGGACTCTACAGTTCTTGATAAATTGCATGACCCGTGTCGTGCGTGTCCTTCTGAAGTTTCTTTTCAACAAGCTGTAATCTTCTCTCGGCCATCTGTCGATTGTTTGGCAGGTTAGGTCGATCTTGTTTCCACGGTACTGAAACTTCGTACCGATCACCGTTGTATGACAGCGACTGTTCAACCTTTTTCTGGGCTATCTTCTTCAGGGGCGTCAACTCGTTTTCTTCTTGACTCTGTGGGACGATGCCGAGTGTTTCGAGGTCCCAGAAACGCTTGAGTGTGACGTTCAAATCTTCATCCGATGCAGTAACGATGTCTGGGGTTAATTGCTGTGCACACGTACGGAACGTATGTAAGTAGCCAGTGTTGACACATGCTGTTCCTCTCGGTTGTGTCGATTTTCCGATTCTTCCGATAGCGGTCCAGCCCAAAGGACAAAGTCTAGCGGCTGGTTCGTCTTCCTGACCTCGAATTTCCTGCATGGGAAACATCAGGTGATAGTAATCCGATCCGAGCAAAGCATCGATAACTCCTTTCTCTGCGAGGTGTGGGAAAGGAATGTCCTTTAAATGATTCCACTGTTGCTTCATTGTTACCCAGTCGGTAGGTTTCATTCCTCCACAAATCTTGTCACTGGTTTTCACCACGATCGTTGTATCGACTTTTCCATCAACGCTTTCTAGGCCAATTTCAAGAGTAGCAGCCATAAGTCGTATCTTCTGATCGTTTGCTACATTGATGGTGATTTCTTCTTTCTCTGTACTAATTCCTAACGTCTCGATCACATCTTCATTTACGTAGGTGGTGTTGCTGCCCTCGTCAAGAAAACAGTTCACTAATAATCGCCTCTTTCCGTGTTTGAGAATTGCAGGGACTGTACGAAGTGCAATAATCCTCTCTTCGTGTCTTTCGATGGTGTTTAGAGTCGTTGTTTGTGTATCCCCCTCCATGCTGGGTACCTTTGTTTCTTGTCCGGGTTGTGATTCGTGCAACAGAGGGTGATGTGTTTTCTTGCATCCAGCGACATCACAGGCTTTACTTTTTGGACACTGGTGTCCTAAATGGTTGTAATCCAGACAACAAAAGCACACTCCAAATCGTTTCGCTGCCTCCCATTTCTTTTCAAAAGACCATCCAGTAAACACTTTGCATTTCTCGAGATGGTGCGTTTCTCCACAAGCTCTGCACAATTTTCCTTTTCTCTCGATTTCGTTACTGATCTTCTTGCCATCTTGTAGACTCGCGCCGTATGATTTGTTGTTTCTCCTGTCTTGCCGCGACCACTTGCTGTCTTCATATTTCCGAGTAAAGCCATGTTTCACCTCCGACGCTTGAGTTTGCAAATCCGCTTCCACGGCCACCCATTCGTTTAGAGTTACCATTGTTTCGTTCTTTCCTTGTTCCTTGACCCAATGATAATACTCTTTAAGCAAATTCTCGGGCAGTTTTTCGACCACGATTCCATATAGGGTTCCGCCCCCTAAGTCCGCGTGAAGACTGTTATTTTTCAAAACAACGATGGTTCTTTCAAGGGCATCAGCAAATTTATCCATCGACTTTGGATCACCTTCGTTAACTGGCCTCATCTTTCTTAATTCTTTGATTTGCGCTTGAACTTTACGCCGATCCCCGCCGTATTTTCGCTGCAATCTTGACAATGCGGCGTCGTAAGCAGTTTGCGAATAACCCAGGCCTTAAATCGTCTCGGCGGCTTCTCCACGTAAACAACCTTCTAACCTCAGCATCTTGAACTGTGGTGCAAGTGACGTTTTGTCGTCGCAAGTTGAAAAGGCGGCGAACCACTGTTGAAATTCCATTTTGTTTCCCGAAAATATTGGTATCCTGATGCATTCCAATTGTTTGTTTGAATCGCTCGCCCCTTGCTGTGCGTTTGGGTGTCCTTCGATTTCCGAGGATTCCTTCTGTTTAGACGAGAATATTTTTGCTTGAGCCGCTAAATAGGAACGTGCAGTGTTGGTATCGTTATCCACTCGGTCGACCAAAGCATTTGCTTCATCGCTCGTCTTCTCTGCGTCTGCAGTTTTCTTTAGCTTTTCATACTCTATCTCCAGATCCCGCATGATCGCCAGCGCTTCTTCTTTCTTCGCTTCGATGTGCTCTAACGGCCAAGCGTACCACCAAGTCATTTAGTGTCTTTGTTATCGCCGATTTCAGTGTTCTTTTCGATTCCTTCAACGATTTAATGGCTTCCATCGTGGGCTTTGATGGCTGTGCGCCCCACCCCCAAATTCAAGAATGTCCGATTTTGTTCGATTAATATCCACTCCGACTCTGAAAAACTAACTTAAATCCGGCTCCATGAATCTGTTTACACCATCATTCACAAGCACGAGCGCCTTTGAAAAGCAGAAACCTCTGCCGAGACAGTGAACGAAGCTGTTCATCACGCGAGACACGAGTTGAGAGAAAAATCAGATGATACTTTGTATCAATATTGTGGGGCAGCTCTTCACCGGATGATAAAGCTGAGGAAGGAGACTTTGGCAGGGAAGAAAGGACACGGTAAATTGTCAAGTCAAAGAAAGCTGATCATGGAAAAGGAATTAACACTTCTCCAGGAACTATTAATGAAGGACAAATCAGACATTCCATCTAGTCTAAAAAACCTCGACGAAGGCAATCTGATTTTTTCACGAGTTGAAATGATTCCATTTTTGAGGTCTGTTGATAACAACGTTCGAGAATTTGCGACAGACTCCAAGCTACGAAAATATCCACCGAAGTTTCTAACTATGTATCCGAACGCAGTGCTGAACAATGAAAATTTGGAAGTGGACTTTCGGCTGCTTGTTGCATCACTTGCGAACTTTGAAAATGACTCTGGTATGGAAATTGTTGATGTTCTTTTTTCAAGCCTTGGTCTGAAAACTTGCAAACACTCGTAGTAATGAATTTTTGAATGCCAGAATTGAGAGAGATTTGAAAGATCAAGGTAAAGTGGTGGACGCCGATGAAATGCTGAGACCTCGTTTGAAAGCTTACGCTTTGGCTACAAAACGCAAGTAGTAAGCTTAATGTATTTGTTCAAGTTTTATACCCTCTCATTTCCAAGCACATGTCATGCAAGATATGTCAATGAGAAGTTGATCAATTAAATGAATGTTCATATCCCCTAAACTAACTGGGTTTTTACTTTTCGCAGGATGTCAAGTCCTTTGCATAGTAAAATAGCATAATTTCTTCATTGAAGAATGACAAAATAATAGTTACTGCTTTTGTCTCAACCCAATATAGCCTAGTATTAAAACATCTCTTGTAATAAATGACACTCACAACTTTAAGTATGCATAGTTTTTATTTTTGTAATTTTAAGTGGGTTAAAACCTAGCCATCCCAAACAAGGACAAACCTGTTCAATTTCTGCTTTACCTTACAAGGAAAGTGTAGCTTGTTAACAGGCTCCGTAGTTATTAAAAAGCATGAATCTCCCTCCCTATCTCTTCACACATTCTCTCCGCACATTCTCTCCCTCTGTTGTCTACTCTTTCCCCCGAAGAGAGAGTCTAAAGGTGAGTGCCTCTCTTAGGAACTTGCTTGATTAAGTGTCTCAGTTACTTTTGTTTATAGCTGAGTTATTTATTAATTATTTTTTTCATTCTAATTATATCATAGCTCAGTGAATACAGGAGCTAACTAGGAGTAGCAATCAATTATATCAACTCTAATAATATATTCTTAGCCGATGCATCTTCATACATACCCATGTAAAACGTACCAAGATTGAAAGCTAAATTTTGCTCGGGCAAAATTCTTGAGTTTGCAGTAACGAGACTGCTGGGAGAATTTGCGATCAAAATGATTGCACCACTGCTCGTGTGAACATGACTGTCAATGAGTGCACAAAAGCCATTAGTTTCTACTAAAATTCCCACAGACTTACCTCAGCCAATAAGAACCCCGGAGGATGGCTGCTGAACATTTCTGATATATGCTGCTAGATCAGCAAAAACATTAGCATCGGCAAAACTAAACATTGAACTTACTGACTGTAGATTACATTCTGTGCCCACCGACTGTACTACATCTTCTACATCTAAGTAAACAGCTGCCATAGACGTCATCGTAGATGTCATTGCCATCACATATTACATTGATAAATGAAGATGTCCACAACTGTGGTAACTGTTTCAAAAGTAAGGACACACACAGATTATAATGCACACAGTAGGCCCCAAATGTAACAGCAATAACTGTACAGGCATTGCTACCTTGCCGCTCTCCCATCGTGGACTGTGCAATGGTAGTTGGGAAGATAAATTGAGACTAGACACTTTAGTACACTTAATACAAATCTGGTTTTCAATAGACAATGACTCCCTATCTATATATAAGGTTATGTGCCTGTGGTCCTTTTTTGAATAGTTATTCAGAGTTAAACTTTATCTGTTAATCAACCTGCCCAATGCAGGTGAGTAAGCAATTGCGGATAAATTTCCGCCACTAGTGTGCTTTAAAACACTGAAAATAGACTCTAATGCACTTCCATTGATTCTCAGTGGGCTGAAAAAATATCTCCCATCTGGTGAGACACTGGTGAAGAATCACTGGCAAAAGGATAGAAATCTATTTATGACAACACGGAGAAGATCTCAAGTCTACAAATACATGACATAAAAACAAGTTAAAAATGTCATTTTTTAACCTGTGGCCTCCATATTTAAGGTTTCCCAAGCTCAAGGCAGATAACATTTCTAGAAAGTCATTTAAAAAAAAATATAGAGAGAAACAGTACCATGCAAAAGTGTTGCTCAGCAAGCCTTAAGCTTTTATTTGAGTATTCCCATTTGAACTAATATTTCAAGACATTACAATGTTAAATGGCTCTAACTTTGAATTCCAAGGTTACATTAACCTGGCACGACTACTGCCTCTGAATTATTGAAAAGAAGGTAATGGTCCATGGTGGCAGGTTACATTGTTGTATATTTATTTAGTTCAGGTGTCACATCCCAACAGTAGCAGCAACTGTTCATTTTGAGATTTCAAAAATGGCTCAGTCACCATGCATTACTTTTTTGGCCAGCAATACATAATTTAATCTCTTATTTCGCACCAACTAACCTGCCATGCGAGAGACTTTTTCTGTCTGGATTTCTTGGTGTTGTCAGAGTATATTGCATGCCTCTAGGAAGCTTGCAACAAGAGCAGCACTTTCCTGATTGGGCTCTTTTGCAAGGTCTTGAATAGCTGCGACCATGTAACGTTGCTACAGATTTAAAAATGATAAGAAGGAAAAAAACATTAGCAGTGGGGCCTGCATATTTTCTCAAAGCCTTTGTTTTGTGGAAAACCTGGTGCATAACAATGAGATAAACAACAACAATAAATATTTATACCATGCATATTGATGGTTTATTCTACAAAGAAAGGCACTTCAGTAGAAGAAGGCAGAAAAAAGGTGTCATAGAGATTTAAATATTTCACTATCTGATGTTACTTTGAATTCATGATCAGGAAGAAAAGTACAAACAAATTTTATCACCTGCTTATCACAGGCGAGTCCAATTATCTCTGTAAACAAATGCATACTTCAGTCAAGGGACTTTGTGACTTCTACCCATCTCTGCTCTCTCCATTTCTTGGTTTTAAACTTTCTCAATTGTTTCCTATCCAAACTGGATAGCATCTAGAGTAAGACTTTTTGAACTAGAGGGTCTTGAGCTGTACAAGGCAGCTATCATGTTCTGTAAATTGGAAAAAGATGACTGGTGTATCATAGATGGTTAAAGAAATTGCAGTTAGAGGAAAATTAATTACACACTTTTGACAGATCTGAAAATGCTTTAAGTGTTACAAGTGTTACATAACTTGATGTGGGTGTCATGAATATGTTGGAGGTATGACTTTAGGCCATCTTCATTTTATAACATGACCAGGCCTCGGCTCAACAAATAGTGGATAACTCTATCCACTAAATAAATCGCTATCAAGTGGATGGATGTACTCCAACCAATACAATTTATCTGCTGGATAGCAACGTACGTGCTGGATAAAGTTACCCACTCTTTGAACTACTGGTGTAAGGCGTTTACATCTAATTAAGGACAGGATTGTGAATTCAGAAGAGACATTGAAATGCAGGGAAGTGTTCATGTAAGTAAATGTAGTATCTCAAAATGAGGGCATGTTAGACACACTCTTTCCGTGTTTGTTTTTACAAGAAAAAGATAAATACCTGATGGCTTGGGCAAATCATGGCAAATCATGGTTTTCCAAAAGGATCCTCTGGATTAGTAAAAGACACGTTGAAAAAATACCGACCTTTTCAAGGTTTCTGCCTGATCATCTATGGGAAGTGTTTCCCTGGGACACCCACAAAGAATTTTCAAAAGGGTCAAATTTGAAGATGCACCGTCACAGAGGACAATGGCCACTCCAAAGCCAAATGCAGTAAATGCTTTTAAGCATAGCATAAAGAACTCCTGTAGGATGTTAGAATCCATGGAACTGGGGACAGAGAAGTAAGGGCCAATCATGTCATATTCAGAGGTCAAGTCCCTCCTGAGAAACTGCACAATATAACTGGCCTTTTGGCACCCACTCTGGATAGCTGATATGTAGAAAT